CTGTGTACTGCATTTGACTGGCTGCCCACTTCTCACACAAAACTAGGGGGAAATGATGGCTAGCATTCATAAAGCTGAGCAGAGGGCACTTCCACAGTGGTTAACCTCCTCTAGTTTAAGTAGTAATCGATGAACAATTTGCAAGGATAGAAAACAAAGATGGTATACGAAATTGTTTGCAAATTAGAGCTTTGCTTTCTTCTTGGAAACCAATGGATGCACAGCACGTAAAAGAGATATATGCATTCAGGAATAAGTGATTGTATTAGTTGGTAATAAAAATTTGTTCTATACATGACTGACCTGCCGTCAAAGAATTCCCAGAAACAATCATGAAATGAGAGCCATGAGAATCTCTTATGAAGAGGCAAGCTGCTTCTTTCCGGCCAGTATCTCTCAAAGCATCATAATGGCAAGTAGTCATTTAACATATCAATTTGGAGATGATTCGTATTGGTATCGCATATCTTGTTCAAATTGTTGATCTTTAAGAATCTGCAGTTTTGATTACTTCTTCGGGGTTCGGGCTTGATCTTAGCAGTGTGTTATCGTTCCTGGCTGATTGATTTGGTTCTGAGAGCAGACTCCATCAATAAACAGTTTGCCATTTCTTTCATCTCACAGGTACAGATAACCAACCTTGGACGCATCTGGCAAAGTAATTTCACATCCTGCCAATCACCAGCCCATAATTGAAAATTGTTGTCAGCAACAACCGGCAATCGGAACAAATGGGTCCCTCCTTGAAGGCATTGGCGCGCAGCTCAAATCCTCATTTGCTTTGTAGTAAAGCATCCTCTGCACATAGAAAATCATATAACACTGTGACGCTCTCACAATCCTCTCATCAACTTCAGTAATCCAAGCATCATCGCACTTGTACCATTGGTTTTGCAGGCGCAGATAAGTCACGTAATGACCTGAGTCTAGCATCCCAGAATGAGTGACTACAGCAAAAATCTCAAATTCTGCAGAGATATCCGCTTCATCACTCTCAAACCCAAAAATTCTATTTCCAAACCTGTTTCTGACAATTGATGGAGATAAATATGGGGTCATATCCAGAGAAAAAGGAAACTGTAAATGCCAATCAATTTTTCTTGATGTTCTTCTCAAGGAAGAGTGCTCAAACCGCTTGATATGCAATGACAAGACCAGTGGAAGCCTTTTAATAGACATTTGTTTCAACGTGTCCCTCTTTTCTTGACAATTTTGGCAGTACAGTTTCTGATCAGACCCCAACCTCTCAGGCCTTGTGAACAGATCCAAACAAGCCAAAAGGGTAGATCTGCCGGTGTCCTCATTTGGCCTAACAGATTTGTTAGCCACATCCACTGAAGAAAAGCTGCTTGTGTCCATGTTGAGCGAAATGTCAACACAAGGGTCGTAAGTTGTGGAAGTAAACCCACAAGTTGTGCAGGTTAGATCTGATCTTAGCATACCTGAGAAAACCCTATGAGCAATACACTGACAATCTCCATTATCTACACAAAAAAAGATCTATATATTGTAAGTCAAACACAGTAAAAATAACATATAATGTAAAATTCACCACTGTGTGAACCACCCCCTAGTGCCCTGGATACTGCAAGCAAATCAGAGTTTGTTTTTGAAATTAACAAGTTCTTTCACATGATTTGGGACAAAAACAGTGACATTTCCTTTAGACAAACCCATAGTTATTTGCTAAATCCCAGAACTCAAACTCCTGGAAATCATAACCCAACTTCTTTAGAATACATTGTATAATATATTAAAAAAATACAGAAGTTATCTTATCCTACAAAGAAAAACTACTAGGTAGAAATCCCAAATTTATTCTAACGCATCTAGGAATCATTTTTCAAAACCATACGTCATCTTTAAACACCATCATGTGATAAACAGAACATAACACAAAATAGAAAGTACACCTTATCCCAGAACCTAGAGGCATTACCTTTATTTGGATTTCTCTCCTTTCCCTCTCTCTCATGGATCGCATCTAACACTGAAATGAAGAATTCATGAGCATCCTGCTGCTCGTAGCTAGCTAGATTTGCTGAATGCTGCCACCAACTTCATATAGAAACAAAATCTCATTACTAAAGCACAAGCCACCTCCAAACATCTGCTGGAGAATTAAATGGAAGGCCTATGAAGGAATCTAACACCACACTTAAATCAATATCAAAATCCGAATAGTAAAACAGCTCAGTAACTACACCATTACAGAAGACTTCCGATTAGAATCACTTACACACCCAAGTAAGAACCAATTCCAGCACAAGATAATGAAATTTTCTATCAGAAATATAGGAGAAGAGAAGAAAACCTGCTTGAAAAAATCCTTAAGACACCATACTTTCTGCTAGCTGATACCTGATGGGATATAACATATCTCTAGTCTACCTCTTAACAGTGGCAGAAAAAACTGAATCTATAAAACAAACAAGCTATGTGAATGTACTAAAGTTTGTCAAAGAAAGAATCTCAGAAAATAGTGGCAGATTACATCCCCTCTCAACAGGTCTAAAACAGATAATAGTAGACAATTTAACATGAATCAATCAACAAAATCATGATAATGAAAATTGATTTGCTATCTAATCACACTGAAACTAGAAGGTGCATATATATAGCAATGTCAGACCTGTAAAGAAACTGAGCTGGACTATAAGGTGTCCGATCCCCGGAATAAACAGCTGAGAAAATTACACCGATATCACAAGCCAAACACGATTGATCTGATGATCTTTTCCTACAAGTTTCACGGTCGTGTCTCTCACTCAAGAAGTAATTCCTGAACGGTGGTGCATGGAGCAAAGCTTGCAAAATAGAATTCATGAAACAAGTACTGCCCAAATTATTCAATCCTCTTAATCCCAATGGATAGCACGATTTCGCCCTTCGACCCCTCATCCAAACAAAAAATTTAGACCTTATCAAATCCAAATCCACCACTGAATTCAACCTCCTCCTCTTGCTTGATCTCCTCATTAAATCATCAACAACACTATCACGGGTCTTACTTGGCATATCCACAATATTTTTAGCCACAACTACCTTATCAAAATCAAGGTCATAGACCTGATCACTACAAGAACAACAATAAAGTTCTGATCTTTCAATGTCAACAGCTATATCATGGCCATTCTCAGATTGACTATGCAAAAGGGTATGGTCTGAACAAGACATTGAAGAACAAATCAAACACAGAAACAGTCTACCTTGACGAATCCCACAACAAAAACTGCATCTGGGCATTTTTGTTTCACACATTTTAATGCTTGTCTTTCCATTTGGAAAGGTTTTGAGCCATTTTTGAAGGAATTTGTATCCACTCAAGCCATGCCTCAGCTTATAATCTGCAAGATGCTTACAGGGTTTTGGGTTTGCAAACACAGAGCTCCTTGTTTCCATAAACAAAATACAGATAAAAGTTTTGATCTTTAACCAAAAAAACAAGAATTTATTAGATCAAATGGGCAATCTCAATACATTAAAAAACAGTAACCTTGATGTTTTGGTTACAAAAAGACTCAATCTTTAAATGAAACTAACAATAGGAGATACTATATTAAAGATCTAAGATTAGATTTGCAAGTTTGTTATCTTGATTTGATGAAAGAGAGGGACAAAGAGAGAGGGATGATGAATAAAGCAAAGCTTGGAGGACCTTTAGGGAAGTTACTTAGTAGAGAAGGGAAGAGGAGGGCTTCTCTTTTTCTTTCTCTTTTTCTTTTTCTTTTTCTCGATGAATAGACTAAGCTTTTCATTTCTTCACGAAAGAAAAGGTTGTCTTGGCTCTTTTGGAGGAATATGAACCGTTCATTTTATTGATCAAGACAATCAAGAAAGTGGGTCAATGATGGAGCAGACACTACTTGTCCATGGCTGCTTGCTTCTCTGGATGGTTAGGGTTTTTGTACAAAGTTGTAGTATTTGCAAGCTAGGACTCGTTTCAGTGCTGCTTGATATTTAAGGATATGATCATTAACCTAAACTAAAGCCCAAGAAAGGTATAGAATTGGAAGATAGTAATGCTCAGTGGAAGTTTCTTCTGAAAGTGAGAGGACAATGGCCTGTTACTGTTAGGTATTCAAGAGGCCAACCGTGGGCCGGAGCATGGACCACGGACACCTCCAGCACTCATGGAGGGAGGGAGAATGAACGAACAAATATTTCTTTCAGTTGTTGCACTTAAGCAGATTCATGAAAACACTACACTTGATCTTGGTTGATTATGGAATATTTACCATCTTGTTACTCCATCTCTTGATATCCCGAAATAAATAATCATCTTGATGAAACCTTTTCTCTTGTTTTCTTTTTTTTGGAATTCAACATGGATTTTCAATTCAAATGACTCCATAAAAAATCTAAATTATTAGAATTCATGAGTAATAAAATCAATTATAATGAACATTAATGCAAAGGTTATTTAAAGTTTAGGTTATTTTACAATAAGCTTTACATAAGTGTAAGAAACAAGCACAAAACTATAATTGACTTGGTTTTGTTGATATTTTTTTTTTTTAAAAAAAAAAAGCTTAGTTACTAAGTTATTGAATTAATTTATGGGTCATCGTATCAATAATTTTTATTGAAAATATATTATTTATTTATTTTAATTTTTAAAAAAAATATTATTAATATTAATCTCATTCGTGGTTGGATTAAGTTTAATTAGGAGGGTGATGTCTATGCTAAGTTTAAGTCAAGCCTGCCTTACACTTATTGGCTAAGTTTTGAAAGTATTATATATTCTTTACAATGACATAGTTTAAAAGAAGCTTTTTATACATTATGAAAAGGAGTCATGAGATGAGAAACCATGTGGCTATGAGCAGAAAAGGAAATGGTGATATAATTGATAATGAGTAACCATAATTCTTATTTATGGAGGATATTCTTTTCATATACAAGATTTAAAAGTTGTTTTTTTTTTTTTCATACATTACTTATGGATATGTCACAAAAGAACCAAAGTGAAATCATTCATCTGTAAAAGAGAAAACCATCGACAACAGGGTTTGAACCTGTGCGAGCGAAGTCCAACAGATTTCAAGTCCGTCTCCTTAACCACTTGAACATACCGACTTGTTGATGTTTTTGCTTGGAAACCTACTATAGAAGCATTTAAACCACCAAAGAACTCTAACATGTTAATGGGGTTTGTCCATTGTTTTCTTTTTCACATCTTTTTCCTTTCATTCCTTCCTGGAAATGCACTAGTTTCATTGAAATCTAGTTAACAATTTTCAATGAAGAATTTGAAGAGGATCTTGGGAGGAACCAGGGCACCAGGCATTGTAAGAACTTGGGAGGAATTAGTTGAGAGTAACGAGTGGCACTTCTCTTAAAGTGATGGTCTCAAGTTTAGATCTCATGTAGAAAGAATTTATTTGTCAAGGGAAATTCTTGTTTACTTCAATAATCCAATACACATTAGTTCAGTGTTCAATCTTCTGTGTAGCAGTACCTCTAGTGAAAGTAAAAGTATCCCAATTCTATGCAAGCCTAAAACGTTGTCAAGGAGTTGATCTATAGATCATTTATCAAACCTCTTCACATGAATTGCACTCTTTCAAGAAACTACAAAAAAACACAGGATAATCTTTTTCATTCAACCAATTATAATACATCAAGAAAACATAGTCATGAATTGGCAATGTTAGGAAACCCTAGTATTCATCTATCCATATAACAAGGTACAGGTAAAAAGGCAATGTCTTGGCAAAGCTTCAGTTCTAGAGATACTAAAAAATAAGCAATCCTCACAATAAACCCAGGTTGCTAGGAAAAGTGCATGTCAGCGGCAACTCAAAGTAGAAGATCAAAGTATCAAGAAAGTACTCCAAATCTAAAGCTATTTATTCATCCATCAATCCATTTTCCATGGATTATTAGCAATAGACATCACCCTCCTAGCCTAAAACCAACAAAACAGCAAAACGTATCAGCTAATACAATGAGATACATACACTTAGAAGCAAATAATAGCTAGGAACTCGAGAAACAAGACATCTAACAGTAGGGTGCATGGATTTCTCTTAGTTATTAAAGCATTCTAGAGTAGGGAAGAAGTATTCATCCTAAGAATCCAAATTCTCATGTGCTAGGTTAAATCACTTGGTTTACTTCCAAGTCATATACAAGTCACCCTCAGCCAACTTCAAATATTAATTAATAGTTTCAACTTCTTCTTTTACTTGAAGATAAGCTTAAAGACATAGGAGGTTCCTCCTATGCATTCATCGATGCACTAGCCCTTAAAATCAGACATCAATGCTTAAATTATGTCTAGTGAAAATAGCAGCACCAAGCACCAAAAATCTATATGGTAGAACTTTTTGGGGACACTGGTAAGAATGTTCCTTATCAGTAGTCTGTTCATCCTAAAAAAGGTTATAAATCAAGTTTAAAATAGTCAGCACATCAATAAAATCTATACATTCCGTCTCCATACCTTTTTGTTCGGTGCCCTTTTCTTTTTTAGAAAGTTTAGGGAAATCTAATTTCAAATGCACTTAAGAATTTTGGTTCATTAAAACAAAGGAGAATATACTAGCAATTAAGTAACCATATTCATCCATCCATTATTTCATGAATTATTAGCGTCGACACAACCACCCTTGCCTAAACAAACAAAAAAGCAAAAAATATTAGCCACCATAGTGAAATGCATAAGCACAGGAGCAAATAAAAGCTAGGAACTGATGAAATAAGACATCTAAAAATAGAGTAGTTGGCTTTCTCTTAGTAATTAAAACCTTCAAGAGTAGGGGGTAAGTCTTCATCCTTAGATCCCTAAATCTCATATGTTAAATCACATAATAAACGAGTCTACTTTCAAGTTTCAAATCACCTTCAGATCACCTCAAACACTAATTAATAGTTTCTATTTTTGGCATTCACAAATGCACGAGTTCTCAAAATCACACATCACCACATGCATAAAATTTTGCCTTTTAAAGATAGCAGCACCACGCTAAAAACCTATGTGCTAGAACTTTCTCTGGGAAACATATAAGAATGTTCCTTATTAATAGTTCTTCCATCCTTTAAAAGGCTAAAAGTCATGTTTAAAACAATTATAACATATAAAAAAATAAAATCAATTGGAATGCTTCCCACAAGCCAATTTTTATGAAGTATAACCCATTTTTCAATGTACAAATATCTGTGCACTCCATCTCCATTCATGTTGGTTCACTACCTTTTTCTTTACAAATATTGAGAAAATTTAACTTCAATTGCATGTGTTGGTTCATTCATATCTAGTTAAAGAACAAAGCAAAAAACTTTTACAACACAACTAAAACTTAGTAAAACTTCCTAGTTCAACAACATGAACTAAATCATGGATGAAAACGGACAATATTCATTCGTTTCCCTTCCTAATAGATCTTCCAATCAAATATTTTCCTATTCAAAGCACACGCATTATTTCAACTTCTAGCATTCTTTCACGCCTACAAACAGCAATGTCTGCCAATACCTTAAAAGTATTCTTTCCACTCCCTTAATTGTCTATAACAGGCTAAACAAGGACTACATTGAATCAGTAAAAGCACAAAGCGAAGAACAAACAAAACAATCTCCATAAGATGAACGAAATCAAGTTGCCGAGATCAAAATTTATTGCAAGCAAGTAAAAGAAAACCAATTAAAATTATCAAAAGCACTCTAGTACAGCATGGCTAATAGCCCTAACACAACATAATTTTTGCAACAGATCATTAACCAAACACAAAAATCTCAATTCCACACAACCCGGATTTATTCATTAATCCCTAAATTGAACACATTATTATATACTCACACAGCATTCACTATCCAAACCCAATAAAAACATCATAACCCACAATCTCTTACAAAAGTCATATAATCCATTATTGCCAAACACAAATAGACCACACTAAACACATAAAGCTCTAAACGTTTTTAAGACACGACACAACCAACAACAAGGTACTTCGCCTCAAACTTCTTTTCCCAATCATCAAGTACACCAATCTCTTTCTCAGTAAGTCCATGTAATGAAAAAGAGATGTCTTCATCATTTTTACTCATTTTAGCTAAAGCCTTGCTTGCATCTTTGCCTGCAAACATTACATTAAAACCACCTGGTCCATAAAAGCTTATGCCTGTTGTCAGATCAAAGACTCTTCCTTTGATTGCTACGTAGATGGGTTTGGAAGGGTCCGTGCCATTGTATTAAAGAAGTTGATCTGCTGTGAAATCCATTAATGGGTTTTGTTTGGTGAGAGCGAGAGTGACAGGGACAAGGGCAATGAGTGAATGATCATCGTTAATCTGTCATCTAGGGTTAGTTTTTAACCACACATTATTTTTTATATGTCAAACACTGTCAGTGTCGAGTTGCTAAAGAAGTTTACTTCTTAACTAAGGTGTTTTCCTTTAACCAATTATAACATTCAGCTCGTGCCCGGACCTGGTTCAATGCTCGGTCAGGGTTAGATGAGTCAATTTATTAAATAGTTGACCCTTTTTTGAAAACAAAAATTGTCTAAAATATTTTTATTTTAGATAAGTTTTTTTAAAATATTGATAATCTCTCACTCAAGTTTTGAAAAAATCTACCAGTTAACTGACTAAATTTGATAGATCAATTCTCTAAATAATTCAAAATTAAACTAAATTCAGACTTAGATTTTAAATTTGTAATGCAAGTCACCGAGCCAGGCCGACAAGCAAGCAAATGTCTGACCATAAAACAAAACCAACAGAAATTTTTCATAAAATTTCTAAATAGCTGGTCATGTAATAAGCTTTGAAAATTTTCAATATTCATCATACGAAATTTTCCAAGTGCTTTTGTAATAATCTGGGATGGTATGAGCTAACTTTGATCCTAGCCACACCAACTAGCATTTCATAATAAGATTTTTCTAGTTGAAGAAAATGCTGCTGTGTGATTTCTTGGCTACTATAAGAGAGAAGATTGTGAGCTAAACATGCCATCCAAACAGCAATACAGAATTACAGATGCTCAAAAAGTCCATATGTTTTTCAATTTCCTGTGCTAAGTATTTCTTCATTTATGGAAGACAAGACTCGTTAACACATTTGATGACATCCAGATAATGTTATGTTAGATTATGTTTGATTAATGTCTCCTAACAAAATGAGACAAATATATATAAGAGATAAAAACATATTTCGTTAAAAAAACAAAAATAAAAACATAAAATAAATATATTTTCAGGACAATTTTAAAGCGACTTTCTATCATTTCAAAATAATAATCACATGAAAACATGTCTTTTCTATCCCTACTGCCCTCATCTCTTCTGTGTGCCAAGATAATAACCACACGCTAATGCAACAAAATTTGTCACAAGCACTGCTTAAAACCTTATGTTTAATAGAAATAATAAACTTGAGTGTTGGCAAAAAGGACTATTAGTCTATCACCTCAAGTTCAATAATCATCTATTCAGTATGTCATAGGGACTTCTGCATTACAACAAACCCAATCCTGTTAATGTCTACATGGTTTAAGAAATTTCAAAACAATCTAAATGGTACCATTGTCCATGGTGACCACACCCACCAATAACAGGCCACGCCCAAGAATAGATCCAAATCTGGTCTGGCTTTGCGAAGTTCTTTGTTCCAACCTGTCTTCTTGCCCACAGAAGGTAAATGATCTAAAAGAAGCACATCAGAGCAGAGAAACACCACCACCTGAATATTCGACCTCCTGAAAATTAAACAAGCAAACGAATATTAGTAAGGTTCCTAGTCCTGGAGAAGAAACTCCGAAAACATCTGTGCTTGCAAAATTCATGACATAGAAAGTTTTAAGCTAAATAGCTAAGTCTTTACTGAGTTAATGTGTGATTTAAAGGCAATTATAGAATCTCTTCGCAGTGTGAAAATTCTCAGACAGACAAAACCCTGGTTTGCAGAACGAAAGAGCAAATCATAAAAATTGTCAAGAAATCATTAGAAAGAATCACAAATCGTTGGCCCTTGAGATCATTAATGGAGGATATACCTGGTAGTGGCAGTGTCCAGTAGACATTGCTAAAAAAAGAAATACAAAGCATAAGATTGTTTGGAACTCTTAG